TCCCGACTCGCACGGCCAGGGTGCACGGCCGTGCATATCACCATTCTGGCCGTGCACCTCAAAACGCGGCGTATCAATTAGTTGAACCTCAGCCAACTCGCACGGCCAGAATTGTATGTTGCACGGCCGTGCGGATTTCACTTGTGCCCGTGCGTGCCCACGCACAATCCCGCACGGCCAAAATGGTCACTTGCACGGCCGTGCGTGGCCACCCTGGTCTGCCCGTGCAGCTTGCTCAGCCTCTGTTTAATGCTTCGTTTCTCCCTCGTCCGGACTCGGAATCAGTCGCCGTTTGAACCCAGACGCTCGTAGTCTCGTCCTCTTTCGTTTCATAACAAGCTTGCACGCTTCTTTGTCCATAAAGTGAGGTAGAAATCCATTCTTCTTCTGGTCATGCCCGAGTTTCCTCTCTCGAATCGTCAATTGATCTCTGATTGACTTGAAACTTGCGCCTATGCTTCACTTTATGTGCTAGGACCTGAAATGGGACAAAGGAACACAACCTAGCATAAAATAGGCCACAACACACGAATATGCCCCTCAAACGGATAAGAACTAGGGGCGCAAACATGTGCAATTACATCGTTATCAACCATCCTGCAAAAACCGATAAACATGCACCATACGTGGAAATAATTGTCAATCTCAACTCATTGGGAGGAAAAAGGAATTCCCCCCACACTTATATTTCCACTACGGCCCCATGCTATTTAAAACAATTAAGCACAAACACACTGAGGCATGGTTCTAGGTGTTTCACGGATTATCCACACAAAAAATCAAACTTGAACCATGCCACGGTGGCTACCATCCACCACTCAAGCATAAAAATTGGACATTCATTCACAAATTAGCACTTGGTGGACAATTCCACAAATAAAAGCAATTCGAATCAAAACATGTCCACTAAAGCTCAACTAAGCTCATGCAAACATCATTCAATCATTCAATCACCATAATTCACCTAATTCCTTGCCCTAATGCTAAGATCAATATTCAATTCACTAAAGTTCTCCTCACTTCACTACCTAATCCAATTCTCCAAAATTAACCAAAGTAGAGTTGAAAACAAACCTGGAGACTCAAGTAGGAATGGTAGGGAGGTGAGGAGAGGGAGAGGGAGGAAAAAAATTGGCTGAAAAATATTGGAGGAGGGTCGCTGGAGCTTCACCGGAAGCTCGTCGGTGTCTCGTTGGAGCCTCGCTGGCAGCGACTTCACTGGAAAAATTGTGCCCCAAATCCCCCCAAATTTTTGGCGAAGGGCGCCCTTGACGAGAGGATAATGGGTCTGTGATTGGATTTTGGTTTGGCTCGCCGGGATTTGGTGAAAAGAGGAAAAATCTTCAGAAAATCACGATTTTCCGACGATATTTAGAGGATTCCGGCGAGTTTTGGGTCGTGAAGTGAAGGAAAACCGTTCACGACCCTTTTATAGGAAGACCTTGAGGTTCACAGCCACGTTTGCCAGTTGACAGTCATTAACACCGTGAACATTGCTATGCGTCCATGAACTAAGGGAAATTGGTGGGTTTGACACACGTGGAAGCACCCTGGTTCACGGACGCGTTTGACTGTTCACGGTCTTATAAGACCGTGAACAGAGCAATCCGTTCCAGAACAACAGTGAAAACAGGGTACTTACGAAAAAAATTTACTCGACCTACTCCACCGTGCCTACTATCATTCTCGATAGAACTCAAAACACACAATCACAAAAACTTGGCATGGGGATACCACTCGACCACTTGAACTCTTCAGTCGAAACAAAACGAAAATAAGGAAAGAAAACAAACCTACGTTGGGTTGCCTCCCAACAAGCGCTAAGTTAATGTCACAAGCTTGACGTTGCATATCTATCACCCCTTTCAACATGATGCCACAGAGAGTGGATCCACCATGGTCTTGGGACGAGGCATGACGCCTCCCAACTTACTCTCCATGGGGTGGCCTTCTTGGCTGATGACTTTTGCCTTTCCCTTTATCTCCAAGCTCTTTTCCTTCCTTTTTTGGGTGAGATGCCCTCTTTTCTTTCCTGCTTCACATCATCACAAGGAACAACAGTAATAGTGGGGTTCACCTTACAAGGTTCTCCTCCACTTGCATTCATATCACCCGGTTCCACTTTCTTCACATCCTCACTCCTAGTCTTAGGTTCAATACCAAGAGTAATTCTCTCCTCACCATACCTCAGAATCAAAGTTCCCTCATTTACATCAATTACTGCCTTGGCGGTGGCAAGGAAATGGCATCCTAGTATGAGTGGCATCTCAGAATCCTCACTTATATCCAGAATCACAAAATCCGTCGGATAATAGAATTTTCCCACTCGTACTAGCACGTCCTCCACAATGCCCCTCGGACTAATGATAGAGCAATCGTCCAATGTGACACTAAGCTTTGTAGTCTTTAGTTCACCTATGTCTAGCCTCTTAAAAAGCTTAAATGGCATCACATTTATGCTCTCCCCTAAGTCCTCCAAGGATTTTGCTATGCGATGAGTACCAATGCAAAGGGGTATGGTGAAGCTACCTGGATCGGGTTGCTTCTTTGGCAACCTGTTGAGGACGAAGGCTGAGCACTCCTTACCTAGGGTGACATTGGCGAGGTCTTCGAACTTCGGCTTTTGGGAGAGAAGCCCCTTGAGGTATTTTAAATACCTTGGCATGTGGGCCATTTCTTAAAGGAAGGGAATGTTGAGGTGGAGCTTTCGGAACATCTTCATGAGACCTCCACATTTCGCTTCCAATATTTCCTTGTGCAGCATCGTGGGAAAAGTTAGGGGTGGCGTGTACTCAACCACAGGTGGTGGCGTTGGCGATGCCTTCCTCGCCACTCCTCTCTTTTCTCCCGAGGTTTCCTCTTCTTCACCCTCGGGTAGAGGGTCTTCCTTCTCATTAACTTCTTTGTCCATGACCTCTGGAGTCACCTTCCCACTTCGCATATGAATTGAATTCACCAAGACATGATCCTTGGGGTTGGTAATGGTTTGAGAGGGTAGGGCTCCCTTTGGTCTCTCGGTGAGGATCCCAGCAAGATTTCCGATTTGCACTTCCAAGTTTTGGAGACTTGCTTGATGACTTCGGAGTCCCGCCTCAACTCGAGGTAAACTTGGAGGTTGCCACATCCATGAATTGCTCAATATTCTCGAACTTCTTAGAGCTTGTACTCACAAAGGTAGCCACAAGGTCTTCAAGTTTAGAGAACTTGTCGACTTGTTGTTGTTGTTGAAACCCTTGACCACCTTGTGCTTGGTATGGTTGTTGGAAGTTCCAGTTTTGGAATTGTGGCGTTTGTTGGATGAAAGTTGGTCGAGGTTGATAGTTTCCTGTTGATTCGGGCTCAAATGTACACATTTTACCCCTCACTTCTTATTCGTTTAGCTTAGTATTTCGCCGATCCTCGACATATTTCACGCTAAGTTATGCTTGTTTCGATACATTTCAGGTCATAGCACGTGTGGAAGGGTCGAGGATGAGTTTTGGGATATTTGGAGGTCAAAAAGTGCAATAACCTAAGAGAAGTCCAAAGATCGTGACAATTGCCTCGTAGTAGTGAATTTAAGGCATCCAAGAAATAGCCGCAGTTCACGGCTGGACGAGGCAGGTCAGTGTCTCCTAAGACCGTGAACATTGAGTAGTCCAGTGGAGTTCGTGAAGTTACTGACGACAAGGCAGTTTACGGTCTCTAAGACCGTGAACAGGGGCCACTGACCGTGAACCTAGGCGAGTGAACCAACACGTTTTGGACGACGCTGAGTTCACAAACTCGTTTATGTGTTCACGGCCATGAACTGGCCAACGCATCCGTGAACTGATCGCTTTCGGGAAAATATGAAGACAACAGCGGGGAGAGAGAAGGGAGAGCTGGTTTTTGGGGGAAGAAACACTTTATTTCTCTAGGTTTTCAACCTAAAACACCAAATGGGAGTTCTAGTGAGAGAGAGAGAGAGAGAGTGCTAGAGTGATCTTGGAGCATCATTAGAGGCTTGGGTGGAAGATTCAAACCTAGAAGAAGAAGATCTTGAGCTCAAATTTGTAATATATATATATATATCTCTAGAAACTCACTCTTTTCTCTTTGGGTGTTGTAGATCCCTAACTAATACTTTGTAATTACTTGTTTAGATTGAATGATTTTCATTGGGTATTGGGTAATTCAATAATTGAGGTAGTATTTATCATGATTGTGCATGCTTGTGCTTAACAACCTAGGGGTTGTGCATGTTTTGTGCTTAGCATCCTTAGGTTTGTGCATTTCGGTGCTTAGCAACCTAAGGATTGTCCATAACTGTGCTTAGCACCCTTAGGTTTGTGTCTGGAGGTGCTAGCAATCTAATTATCCACCTTAGCCTAGCTTAGAGAGGAAAATCCCCCTTCCAAGGGAGACTCAATCGAGTTGGTTTTCCTTAAGCTTTCTAAGCCACCTAAACTAGGTTAAGTTAGGGCAACCCTCAATATTGAGTTAAGCAAGTCGGTTAATCGCGATTAAGCCGTCCGATCTTAAAGTTGAGTGAGGGACTAAGTCAACTACCGATTGTCTAAATCGAGAGGGTCGAGTGACATGACCTTTCATGCTTACCTCGGTTTATCAATTGCGAATGTGGTTTCCGACTATATATGCATCCCTCTACGGCTCGCGGTCACCAGTTTTCATCTAGGTTGGTTGTGATTATGCCGCTCAAACTCCGGTTTGAGGGAGAGACCTAGGCAACCGCTAGAGACTGAGTGAGAGGATCGATCCCGTGACAAATCGATCTCTATCTTATCCATCCCGTTAAAATGGATCACAAGTTTCTCCTCCTAGCGGTTGCCCTAGACTTGGTGAGTGGATCGATCTTGTAACAAATCGATCACTAGTGAATTGATTCCGTGACAGATTGATCACTAGTTGCTCACCCCCGCGGTTCACGACCACCTATGCCACACTTCTTCATTCAATCCAACGAGTCATGGTAATTGGTAGCTAGTTAGGGGGAAGCAACTCCTAAGTGAAGCTCCCTTAGTTAGAATTTTCATTTATTTACTTTCCTTTGCTTGGTTAGTTTGTAGTTCCAATAAACCTAAACCCTAAAGTTGCTTGCTAGATAACAACCTAAGCGATTGAAGCAGGGGTACATTGGCCGCCCCAGGTTGACAATTTAAATACTTTCTCTATACTACACCCGGCTAGAGTTTAAAAACTTTGACTCTAGTCGGGATTAATTTGTGGTGTAGTTTCGTGTAAGTCACCCGTTAGACTTTGGAAATCGAGAGGTCTTGGATTGGAAGGGGAAGACCAAGAGAAGTTTGGATGATTGCGCTACCATGGGTTGTAGGTGTTGCTATAAGGGTTGTTCACTCTAGCATTGGCAATGAAACTCACTTTCTCCTCGGGGGTACTTGTCTCTTTCATCGCTTGGCAATCCGCAATTTTATGATTAGTGCTTAAACACCAATCATAAAACATCACCACTCTCTTCCATTGCTTCTTGTCCTCAAGGATCACCTTGATCAACTTGTCAAGCTTCGCTTCAAGTGGAGCACTTGCTCCCACACTTCACACTCCTCTTTCAAGGCTTCTCTTCCCACTTCTTGTCAAGCCCCAATCATACCCTTTGAGAGCCATATCTTCGAGCAACTCGGTCACTTTAGGTGGGGTCATGTTCATCAACTTCCCTTGGCTAAGAGAGTCGATGAGAATCTTGTCATCTTAAATGAGACCTCCATAGAAAGTCTCTATCCGAAATTGCTCCTCGAATTCGTGGCGAGGGCATTAGAGGAAGTAGTCAGAGAATCTTTCCCATGTATCCCTCAATGTCTCATATTTTTCTTGCTCAAAGTGAGTGATTTTCTTCCTCCACTCGGCCGTCTTGGAAGGAGGACAATATCAGGTTATGAACTTGTTGAGTAAATCGTACCAAGAGGTGATGGATCGAGCCAGACTGTTGTTGAACCATCGGAGAGCCTTCCCCGCCAAAGAATAGGGTAATAGCCTCAATTTCAATGCCTCCTTGGGGACGCCATTTATCTTCAAGATTCCCGCTAGCTCAAGAAACCTTTGGATATGCTCTCGTGGCGATTCATTGGCAAGCCCATGGAATAAGGCGTTGTTTTGAATCATCTTCACAAGAGCGGGCTTGATTTCAAAGTTGTTGTCGGCCACGAGTGGATGTAAGATGGGAGATTGGATCTCCGCCGCCCATGGAGCCATGTAATAGCCCATAGTCCTTAGTTCTTCCTCGGCTGCCACTTCCACATTTTGGTTTTGAAGCGGATTAGCCCCTCGATGTTGATTCCGCCGTCTCAACTTCAACTTCTCCTTCAATTCCTTTTAATCCGGGACCAACTTGTTGTCCCCTTTCTTCACTTCTCCTTCTTGCCTCCGCTAGCTCCCTCTCTCGAGCTAAAAGTCAAAGAGTTCGGCTGAAGTCCTCGTCCAGTGGTGTTAAAGGCGCCGGATTGCTCCGAGTCATGCACCTCCCTACACACACTTAAAGAACACAACACGTCTAGCACAAACACACTTCACACTTAGAAAACTGAAAATAAAAGCTAGATTAACACCAAACAATCTTTTCACGATAACAGACTGAAGCTCCCCGGCAACAGCGCCAAAAACTTGACTCGCTCTGTGTAACACCCTACCCTACACGTTTTGCCTAATCATATTGTTCATACAATTGCAGCGGAATTAATCTCGGGCGTTACATTAATTATCAAAATTTACCCAAATAAAATTTCGACATGAATTACTCGCGTAATGGGCTAACAGTTCTTGCAACTTATCCTGCAAAATAATTTATCTGAATCCATGCATTCAATGACAACCATATACATGGACTTCCATAGCCATAGTCACAGTTTCATACTACACAACTGCATACCATACTAATACAAGCCATAATCGTCATAACTTACACAATTACAAAAATATACACATATCATCAACTTTCCACACCTGTGGATATCTCACACTACATTCGAAGCTAGTATGCACATGAAAATGTTCTCAAAACATTTTTACAAAAAGGTGTGGATCACTGGCCAAAATCCCAAGTAGTCGTCCAAGCACAGAATAGTTGAAGACCATACCTCATCTTGGCTTCAACTCTAGCTCCTCTCCCACCTAACACTTATCTACTGCTGCTGCTGATGATCTGCTTACACATAGCATAAGCAGAGAAGAAGAATAAAGAGGGTCAGCTCATAGCTGAGTGAGATAATCATAGCATCGTGAGTTCATAACATAGCATACCACTACCATACATCTAGCAAACAAGCCAAAGCACTAGGATCAGATCTCAGCCCTCCGACATCCCAATAGGCAAAAGACTCAACCACCTTGACTTATGCATATGCATCTTATCATGTTTTACTTATAGGCGCCTGGCTACTCCCATGCTAATAACTCTCCCGGGAAACATACCCCACATCCCGTCGGATGTAGTCATACATACCCCAACATCCCGTCGGATGTGGTCATACATACCCCACGCCACTATGGGTGTAGTCATACCCCGACACCGCTCTGGGTGTGGTCATATCTCGTAAGAATTCTTCAGTCACCACCAAATGAGAGGTGTGACTATCATACATATCATAATAGAGTAATAGCATAGGGAGCCCTAATTACTATGTAGTTGACCGTGAGACCACAACACTCATATTTGGTATCCTTATACATGATTCATATCTCATCTTGCTTAATCATAATTCATTACTTGCACATGTACTTGACCTGGCCATAATTGGCACAACATAGGTAAATCAGGAGTCGTATAATTGCACTTCCTCGGGATAAACCCTCGTGCACGTCATCCTCCTTAACCATCATAATATCACCAGAGAATATATATTTTCCCACTTGTGCATCCAAATACAACAATCATGAAAAATCATACCTAATCACCTTCTCGAACCATCGTAAAGCATATTAATAGTCAAGCCCACAATTTGCAACATATATATAATCATTAGCATAAACAAGGTTCATATCGATTAGGGCAAGTCAATAATATCATACAGCAATCCAGGGTTCATCATATAGCACAAAAGTCCATACACCCCTAATCATGCCATTCTAGTTCACCTAGGTCAATTCTAAGCATCAATATAATTATCGTGATACGACAAACCCGGTATGCCGTGCTAATCCCTCACCAGTTCTGGTCGTTCAAACACCGGTTCTAGCCTCCCGTACTAAAACGTCAATTTCACGAACGAACCCCGAATTAAAATCCGAGACCGTCCTAATATCCCCTGCAGTATCCCCGTCAATATTAGTTCTAGGCTCCGGGTCAAATTCTTGATAAAAACACATCAAACCCTGGCCGGAGCTAAATTCAGCGGATTGGACCACGGCCTAAATAATAGCCGAAAATCAGGAATTAGAACTAGGGGATTGATTACCTCGCTGCAGGAAGCTCGTATATGAAATTTGGGCTCAATCCGGCTTCCGGATACTCCAAAACCCTAATTTGGCAGATCGGGAATTCAAGAAATTCCTGAACCAAAAACTCGTTTTAAAGCTCTAAATCGATAAAACACGATGTATAGATGAATTAGGCATTACTTACGGGATTTTTGGATCACTAGGGCTGAAGATTTTGAGCTTTGGAATTTTGGGTCGAGAGCTCCGCGCGTGCTCTGTTTCTCTCGTTTCTCTCGGAAATGGAAGAAGAAGGAAGAAATGGAAAAATGAACGGTGGTGGTGGGGAAATTAAATCGACAGGATATATATATATATATATATATATATAAAAATTAATACGTATACTTATGCGATCGATCGATAATTCGATTTTCGCCGAAATAGTGTCGAAATGCTCGATTTTAAATCGCGAACTTTCTAGCGATCGAAATACGATTTTAGCCGAAACGGGATGTTACACTCTGACTATCGCAATAAAATCCCACCTAAGGCCCAAGTATAAACCTTAGATGGGTGCAATATAGGGCAAGTATGTTTAAATATCAACCCGGACCAGCCCATGTACTGTTACTTCGATTGTTTGAAACATTATCTAGCGGATGGTTTTGGTGAAAACAAAGATCTAAAGCTAAAGTACTTGCAAAGAGAAATGGTTTTGACACTAATTGAGAAGGCTTCACTCGGGTGTTACTCCCCCGAGCTAGAAATTACAACTTGATGGATCGAATGGCCGTGTGTGGTGAGGGGGTTGTAAACCGCAAGGAAGTCTAACAAGTAGCCAAAGCTACCCTCTTAGTCTCTAGGTCGATGAAAGGGGATACGATCCAAGCCACTAATGCGACTCCCTCAACCTATTGACTAAGGATTGGTTAGACTTCACCCTCGAATCGGAGTTCGGACGGCCACCCACAACCAAAGCCTAGATGCTAATACGAAATGGGAGGTTTGCCCCGCATTAACCTAACTAGGAGACAATTAATTGCCCAAGAAAACCCAGCATTCAAGCCTCTTTCAAAGCATTATAGCTAGGGTTGATAGGCTTTCACAAAACACAATTATTCATGAATAATACATCCACCTTCACATTAAACACAACCACACACAAATCATTCAATTCATACAAGCATTCACATAATTATAGCTAGGGTTTACAAACACCCAAGTGAAAGAAGGGACTACTCCATGCTATGAGAATGTAAAACACAAGAGAGAAGGAAAACCATCAAAGAGATGCTAGCCTTGATCCTCGTGTTGAAGAGATCCTCCTTTGGGGGAGGAATTCCCAATTCCTTGCTTGGAGATGAACCCTAGCTTCTCCTCTTCTTTGGTTCGTCACTTTCTCACTCTAGAAATATGAAGAAGGAGAAGTTTCTCACACTAGGTCTCTCCATTTTCTTCTTCCTTTCGGCTGTCCTTTTATACTGAGATCACGACCAGTTCACGGCCGTGGACATCAAGATGCTTCCGTGAACATAGTGAGCTTGACCAAAATGCTCCGCTTCACTTATGGGTTTCACGGTTTATGGTTTGATTCGGGCCGAAATGTACACATTTTACCCCTCATTTCTTATTCGTTTAGCTTAGTATTTCATCGTTCCTCGACATATTTCACGCTAGGTTGTGCTTGTTTTGATACATTTCAGGTCCTAGCATGTGTGGAAGGGTCGAGGACGAGTTTTGGGATAATGGCCGGTTGGATGTTGAATCTCGTTCTTATTTGACATCGTTCTTGAATTATTGCATATAGTCGAGTGCATCCTATTAAGATGACTGAGAGTGCATTAGGATTGTGCGAAGGCTTAGTTATCATGTGTGCTTAAATGAATAGGATGTCTTGACTTGGTTACTCTTCGATTACAATCGCCATGCATCGAGTTTGTGAATGTGGAATAGACGATTGGGCGCCTAGGTAGCCTATGAGTTTTGAGATGATCATTTTCTTCTGGTGTCATAGTTACCTCTCACCACGGTGTGTAGCATCACACTTATCATTATTGAGTATGATGGAGGCATAAGATTAGTCCACGCCTAAATGTTGATTGTCCCAAAATGTGTCATCCCTTAGTCAACCCTTTGAGCCTTGTGACTTCGAGGGTCGTTCTTAAATTAGGTGCTTCTTGCTTGTGAGCTTAATGGTGTTAATAGAACGACCCCCAATCCTTTCTTCGTGTCTAAACATGAGCGTCCTTGTGTCCCGGAGCTCTCGCTTTCGAGTTCCATTGAGGTTCTACATAGGAGGTTTTTGTGCGGTTCTTGCTAGAATAAATAATGAAGTGTAGTGTTGAAGTGAGTTCTTCAAAAAGAGAGCATTGGTCGTTAAATGTATAGGTGGAAAAGGTTTTACTCTCTAGTAACCGCACAAAAAGAAAAGTAAAGAAAAGAAAAAGAGGTAATAAAACGGGGTAAATAAAGTAGAGAGTGCCACGAAAACAAAAGTGTATGCTCTAGGAGGGGTTTCTTGGCACTCAAGCCATTGAGACCCCCCAGTAATGTTTAAGAACTCCTTCACTACCAAATCGAAAGGTGATAGCAAGAGAAGACCGAGGAAGAGCGCTTAAATGTAGTTCATGATGGGTGATAGTTTGGAAGGGAGAAGTAAGGCTTTTGGCCGATGCTAGTGGCCTTTGTTTGTAGAGAAGGTTCTTAGTCAAACCAATAGAACCTTCGGGTTTAGGTTTATGATGTAGAACCTCATACCATGTTTGCCACCACCCAAAAAGCTTTTTCCCCATGTCCAAGACAATTGGCGTCTAGGACCTCCGGACAAGCTAGTGATGACAACCATTCCGTGAACTCTAGCATTTAGAGGTTGCCTCCATAGTGGCGAGATGGTAGGGATGAGTGGTGATGATTGTGCACATCTTTTGCACCAAAAGGTCCTGACCCCACTGGTCGAGAGTGAGCCATTCATTCTTGTTCTTGCGTGTTCATATCTATCCTGGTGAGGACCTATGTTGCCCCGTTGTCTGTTCCTTTTACTTGAGTTCTATGCATGGTCGGTTTTGATTGATTAGTGGCTTGGTTGAGACTTGCATTGATTGTAGATATAATGAGAACTTTTCATTTGCCCATTTTTTATGCAATTGAATGTCATTTTTGGTGGATGCCGGAATTGTTTGAGAAGGTTCGTGTGTCGATGCCCAAATAGTCATTTGAGATTCACAGCCTTGGCCTTTTGAAATGTCCCCTAGCTATCTTTTTAGGTTGAAATATTACCTAGGTTGAGAATGGTTTGCTTGGGGACAAGCAAACGTCTAAGTGTGGGGGAGTGAGTCGGGCCCAAATGTACACATTTTACCCTTAATTTCTTATTCGTTTAGCTTAGTATTTCATCGTTCCTCGACATATTTCACACTAGGTTGTGCTTGTTTTGATATATTTCAGGTCCTAGCATGTGTGGAAGGGTCGAGGACGAGTTTTGGGATAATTGGAGGTCAAAAAGCACAAAAACCGAAGAAAAGTCGAAAGTAGCGACCGTGAGAATTGCCCCGTAATAGTGAAGTGAAGGCGTCCAGGAAATAGCCGCCGTTCACGATCGGACAAGGCAGTTCACAGTCTCCTAAAACCGTGAACATGGACTACAAACCGTGAACATCGAACAATCCAGCGAGGTTTCAGAGTTTACTAACGCCAATGGAATTCACGGTCTCTAAGACCGTGAACATGGGCCATTGAATGTGAACCCAGGAGAGTGATGCGGTGCATTTTGGACGACACTGAGTTCACAGACGTGTTTAGGTTTTCACGGCCGTGAACTGGCCAACGCGTCCGTGAACTGGTCACTTTCGGGCAAATATGAAGACAACAGCGGGGAGAGAGAAAGGGGGAGCTGGTTTTTGGGGAAGAATTGGTTTCTTTCTCTAGGGTTTGCCCAAAATCACCAAAGGGAGTTCTAGTGAGAGAGAGAGAGAGAGAGAGAGAGAGAGAGAGAAAGATAGAGAGTGCTAGAGTGATCTTGGAGCATCATTGGAGGCTTGGGTGGAGATTCAAGCCTAGAAGAAGAAGAAGATCTTGAGCTCAAATTTGCAACCCCCCTTTCTCTCTCTCTAGAAACTCACTCTTTTCTCTTTGGTGTTGTAGATCCCTAACTAATACTTTGTAATTACTTGTTTAGATTGAATGATTGTTTATGGGTGTGGTTTAATTCAAAGATTGATGTATTATTCATGTTGATTGTGTATGTTTGTGCTTAGCATCCAAGGGTTGTGCATGATTGGTGCTTAGCAATCTAAAGATTCTACATGCTTGTGCTTAGCAACCTAAGGATTGTGCATGTTTATGCTTAACAATCTAATTAGCCACTTAACCTATATTAGAAAGGGAAACCCCCTTCCAAGGGAGTCTTAATCGAGTGGCATCCCTAGGGCTTTTTAAGTCTCCTAACTAGGTTAATTTAGGGCAAGCCTCAATTTTGGGTTAGAGACCCTTGACTCAAGTTTGCATCTAGGTTGGTTATGATTAAGCTGCTCAAACTCCGGTTTGAGGGAGAGACCTAGGAAACCACTAGAGACTGAGTGAGAGGATCGATCCCATGACAAGTCGATCTCTAGTGAATCCATCCCGTGACAAATGGATCACTAGCTGCTCCTCCTAGCGGTTCCCCTAGACTTGGTGAGTGGATCGATGTTGCCCATTAGGATAGTGCAAAACTTTAGTTCTCATGTGTGCAAAAATGAATGGATTTTTTGACTCGATTTCTTGTTGATTACAATTGCCATGCATTGTGTTTTGTGAAAGTAGAATGAAAGATTGGGTGACTAGGTAGCCATGTGAGTTTTAAGCCGATAGTTTTATTCTTGTGTGCTTAGATCCCTCTTACCATGGCGAGTAACATAACAATTGTCACTAGTGAGTATGATGGAGGCATAGGATTAGTCCACGCCCAAATGTTGATTGTCCCGAAATTTTTATCCCTTAGTCAACCACTTTGAACCTTGTGACTTTGGGGGTCGTTCTCATGTTAGAAGCTTTTTGCTTGCGAGCTTAATGGTGTTCGATAGAATGACTCGCCATCCTTTCTTCGTGTCTACACGTGTGTCGTCCTTGTTTCCCGGAGCTCTCGCTTTTGAGTTCCATTGAGGTCCTATAGAGGAG